CCCATGTGGAACCCCACATACTAAGGGATGCCTAGTTGACACCCTCTCCCCAAGCGCCACCCTCTGTCCTCAACCTTGGAGGAATGAGGTAAACCATTTCAGGGCTACCCTGTGTACTCCTACATCAGTGAGGCAGTGAGTCAAAAGGTCATGATCGACCATGTTGAATGCTGTTGTGAGGTCCAGCAATTGCAAGACAAAAACAGACCACAGTAACTGACTAGGCTGGCAAACAAAAGAAAAACATAGGGTAAAATAGGGTCTAAGAGGCAAGTGGTCAGCCTAACCACACCCAGAATCAGCCTGGGAGAGTCAATATCAGCCTGGGAGAGTCAGTTGAAGTTGTCAAATACTGAATCCAAATATGGCCAAGGGGCCTCCAGTTCACATATTGTATAAACAGTTGGCAGGAGGTCGTGGCAGAGTGACAAAACTTTATATTTAATAATATAATTCAGTTATTTCACTGCTTTCTGCACATCTTTAAGTATGCTACTGAATTATTAAAGTGTGTGGGAAGAAAGGAGACTGCTATTTTCTAAAGCTGAGGGGAAGGCATTCTGTGCATGACCGGAAGTATTTTTCTTTCAGGACTCAACCTGTGTTGAAGACAAACTCTTGGGTCAAGCTCTAATGAAATCTTGGAACAAACTAAATAGTTAAGGAGGTCAACAGTAGTAGACCAATTTTAGTGGGGTAGCTACACTGTGGCAAAACCGAAAAGGAATCTTATGCCACTATAAAGTAACACCATAAACTGAGGACTCAGTTCTCACAATTCTCCGTGAGGACGCAAACCATTCGCCACATCTCCTCAATTTTCCTTCCCACTTAAGCATCTTTTCATTGTTGTGAGAGATCTCTCTCTTCATTCAGTGAGGCTTATTTCAAGGTCATTTAATGTACAGTGCACTTCAGTATTTTGGCTAGGTTCCTTGGCTGATGAGGCTTTCTGTTTCTGCTTTCATAAATCCTGTCCTTTTTCCTTTACTGTCTCTTACCTAATAAACAATGGCTATTCCATTTATGGTATCAGGAAGCCAAGTGACTAGTTTTGTTATGATATTTGGTTTGAATCTTTGTCTGGAAGTCCATGGTGGCTCTCAGCAAGCCGGCTCACACAGTGGGAATTTATGAAGATAGAGTGATGGAGAAAAAAAAACACATATATTCCACTCTGAGCTTTTTAGAAAAAGAGCAGAATAAAAGTAATGTAAACAACTCAATTGACAACGGTAACAAATGTAACTTTGAGCGACTGGACCATAAAGCAGAGTTCATCTGTAGGCACTTTCCTGCAATCCCTTTAAATGACCCTTTTCATTCTCTTACTACTGAATGGGAAGTCCTCTTTTCTTCTCTCAACATCAAACAGAACCCATTTTACCTTTCACATCTTGATGTTTCTTTCTAAGCTACAAAGCTCTTCTTGAACAGAGGCCACATGTTATTGTTCATTTGAGTTGCTTCTACATGGAGGTTTTGCTTCACCCCCCCCCCCCAAAAAAGGTGCAATGTTTTTCGATTGGCTTCTTCATGATCTCAGTGTGCAGTCATCACTTTTTGGGTTTTCCCAGATCTGCTTTCATACAATCTTTCTAGAAAGATCATGCTCAGAGAGGGTTTGGAATCCATGTGGACAGAAAGATGAGGATTTCTGCACCTCTGCCCCCATCTGATGCCACTTCTCCTCTTACTAACCATTCCTCCACCATTCAGAGCTTTTTTTAAAAAAGGGGGGGGGAAGCTATATTGTTATAGCATCACTACATTACAGCAATACCTACTATTGATTTTTTTCTCAAAGTTGGCCAAAACCACTCTGGTGGTGTAAGGGTGGAAATGACAGGTGTGAAAGAACACAGTGGAGAGTCTATCCATGTGGAGCATCTGCTTCTGCCACAAATGCCTCTGCATTTGTAGTGGCAGTAAGAGAACATAACAGGAAATCATGGTTGTGTGAAAGCAACCTGGGATTCCTAAGAATTCCATAAGCAACCTGTTTACTTCATTTATACCCCACCTTTCTCCCTACTGGGAACCCAAAGTGGCTTACATCACTTTCCTCTCCTTCATTTTATCCTCACAACAAGCTTGTAAAATAAACTAGGCTGACAGGCCCAACGTCACCCAGCAAGCTTGCATGGTAGAGTGAGAATTTGAACCTGGGTCTCCCAGATCCTACACTAGCACTACTCTCACATAACAAGAACATAGTTAGAAAACTACAAAAAGAATGGACTGCTTTTTGCCTAGCTTTAAGTAGGAAGAAACATATGAATTTGCGGCTACATTCAGACATCATGAACAAAAACAAGACTATTTATGATTGGCATGCACATGGCTTGTTGTCATGCTTGCACATTCCCTTCCCTCCCAAGTAGAGTTCCACTGAAGACTTCCTGATTTCAGAAGGCTTGAAACTCCAATTTAATATGATGTCAGAATGTGGGCACATGAATAAATGTTTCTTTCGCCATAGACCTGAATTCTAAACTAGTATATTAAGCCAGTCCTAAGAAGCAACAAGGACTGTTAGCATATATGTAACATTAAAAGCTAGTTGTTCAAGCTGGATTCAGGAAAGAGGCACTAGATATCATATTGCAAATTTACATTGGTTACTGGAGCATACAAGAGAATTTCAGAAGAAAATCAGCTTGCATCTCATAGCTTTTGACAGTGTGGATTATGGAAAGCTATGGTTGATTTTAAAAGAAATGGATGTGCCACAGCATCTGACTGTTTTGATGCACAACCTGTACTCTGGATGAGAGGCTACTGTTAAGACAGAATAGGGAAAAACAGAATGATTTCCAATTGGCAAAGCTGTCAGACAAGGATATATTTTTATCATCCTGTCTGTTCAATCTATATGCAGAACATATCATAAAGAAAGCTGGATTAGAATTAGATGAAGGTGGATGGCAGGCAGGAACATTAATAATTTAAGATATGCAGATGACACCGCTATTACTGACAGAACATAGTGAAGACTTGAAACAACTACTGATGAAGGTTAAAGCAGAATTTTTTATTGGTCTTAAGGAGCTGCTGAACTCAAATTCTTGTACAGACTAATGCAACTACCCACCTGACACTATAAATTTGGTAGAGCAAGGGCACTGCCAGACACTATTGATGATATGAACTAGAAATCTATAAACAAACATGAGTTTTCTCACCTCTTTGATGACATACTGTACTTGTTCAGAATGCAACACAAGAGTTTTAATGGCACTTGGCTTGCAGGGAGAAAGTTCTTTATACATAACAGGAGTGTAGCATCGCATTGCATATCTGAGGTCACTGGACTGCCGCCTCTCCTCCAAGATGTCTTCAAAGTCATATTTTTTCTTTGATGTGAGATTTTTCTGCTGGGAAAACAACCAATGAAGAATGAGACAACATATTACTCTCCACAATGTACCTTTTAAGCCAGGCTTGTCAAAGAAGATATATTTATGTGGCTATATATACAGACTCGACTGTGCAACTGAACAACAACATATACTGATTTATATATCCTAATTTAGCCCCCCCCAGTGTCCAATAGCACACCAGCACAATATAAGCAAGAGAAAGTTATAGTAGCCTGTTTCTAAGATTGATTTAGTTAAAACATTGTATTGCCGTTATCACAACCAAGAATAAGGTGGTTTTATGGAGAGATATCACTCCAACACCTTTCCTGGTTTGTTACAGTGCATTAAACTTATTCTAAATCTATCAAGATTATAACTGGCAACTTTGATTCATGCTTAGACAGTACAATTAAAACGGATTAAGTCATACTCAACAGATATTATATATAATTTAAAAGCAGAACACCACTCCCCTCCAGGAAATTATTTTCCACTTTCTGCAACAGATAAGAACAGCCTTCCCATCTCTAGGCAGAGAGAAGGAACACAGCGCTCCGTCTTGCGCAATGAATGCACCTGTCCAACATGCAGAGAATTAAAGTATTACCCAATCAGCAATGGCTACACAACTCAGGTTTATACTGGCACAAGTCTTTACAAACACCAAACAAGAAAATCAAAGATATTGGTTCAATGGTGCTGACAAAGCCAAATAAGAGAGCCACTTCCATGGAGTCTATTACCAGTTTCGGAAACCTACCCCAGGTCCCTGTGTGTCCTCTTCCAAGTAAGTATACAGAAGTATCTGGCTTTAATGTCAGGTTCAAACTACATACTGACCTATGCCTCTAGCACATATTTGAAGACATGGAATATGAAAGGGTTAAAGCAGCATCCCTCCATACACCCGATAGACTTTTCGTTGTCTAGAATCCCCAGACGTGACGTCCAGTCCCCGGGCAATGTGGAAGACTGACACATGAAGCGCCACAGCCTTCTTGCTTATAGCTACAGGCGCTGCGCCTTTTAACAGGCAATTCAGTAAGTGCAGCTTTCCTCATACCCTTCATCGTCATATCGAATGAGAACGGACTTAACTGGTTTTCGGAATATTCTGTCCATACACAAAAGGTGACAGCCCCGTCACGGCTTGCTGCCTACACTCCCGGGGCGGGGCAGGAGGGACAGACGGGGCCGCCGCCGCCGGTCCCCCGGCCGGAACGGAGGTTTTCACACACACTCAATCAGCCGTGCTTGCCAATCACAATGCAGCACGCCCGCCTCCTTCATCGCTGCCGACCCTACCCCCGCCACGCAAAAAACCACCTACAGAATACATGGGAGTCCCTCGCCGAGTGCTGCCCCCGACCATTGCCGCCATCGCCAGTTTCTTCCACCGGCGGCCGCTGCCCGGCTAAACTCTCTCCTCCCTGTTCGGCTTTCTCCACGGCCTCGGCCGGCGACCGATTGCGCCCATTAGCCCGCCCCTGTTGCAACCTTCCTGCCCCGGCGGCTCTTCGAACCAAGCCCGACTGAGGGAGGAGAGAAGGGCGGAAGCACCCCGTGGGCGCCGCCATCTTGGCTAAGACGGTAGTCGCATGCGGCCAAATCTCCTTCAGCGGATTTGCGCCTTGTGCTGCTCCTTTTGAGGGGAGGAGGAAACGGGCGCATGGCGAAGACGGAGAGTCTGGCGGGCGAGCGAGAAGCGGAGACGGCGGAAGAGGATGCGGGTATCGCCGTCTGCTTGCTGGATACTGTCTTGGACTCCTTGTACGATTTTGGTACGTAAAGAGTCTCGTGTCTGCTCCTGGTAGATAGTTCGTGGTCCGCGTCTGATGTCAGGCTCATTTGCTCGGGAGTTTTACATGTATCAGGAACCACCTCCTCCCCCTTTTTCGCATAACCGTTTCTCGCTCTTATTTCTTTTACTCATGAGGATTGCTTCCATTATTGATTGGAAATAACCATGACGCTGAACTGCAGGCTGTGGAAGGTTGGTAGTTCAGCAGTTCGAGACCCAAGTGTGCTGCATGACGGAGTGAGCTCCCATCTCTAGTTCCAGCTCCTGCCAACCTAGCAGTTCGAAAGCAAGAAATTGCAAGTAAATAAATAGGTAGCACTTCAGTGGGAAGGCAACAGCGTTCCGTGTGCGTCCGGGCGTTTAGTCATGCCGGCCACATGACCACGGAAATGTCTTCGGACAGCGCTGGCTTTGAAACGGAGATGAGCACTGCAACCCTAGAGTCGGATTCGACTGGCTTTCGAGCAAGGGAACCTTTACCTTTAACCCACTAAGATCCTAATATCTGCGGGTGAGTGGGCAGGTTCAGTCGGGAACTCCCACCTATGGTTATTAAGAATATGCAACTGCTGTTACTACACATGTATTTAAACACAGACGTAAGAGAGGCAATACAACCAATGCACTTTAACATTTAAAATAAACTCTTTATATAAAATAAGCATGGAGGTTTTCATATAAATCCTCATTCACTCCTGGTTGGTTGCTATTACTTCATAGCAATGAATCTTCAGGATATTACTGAGTACAGATATCTTCAGCATCCACAAGGATGCACAGAACAGAAAAAATACTAAGCACATAGATAATACATATATTGTAGGTCCATATGTTGTAAGCTCACAGATACTGGAACAGCATATGAGGTTTCCAGGCTGTACTTGGGATGCTGCAGCTCTTCTCAGTTGACTCCAGGATTTACCTGCAATAATTCAAGGCAGGCCTTAACACAGCAAAGTCTATATAGGCCTCTCCCCAAGATGTTGCCTCTTTCTGGGCCAGGCTGAACTGCTGGCTCCTGGGAAGGCTAGAAGCACTGAGCATGCTCATTAACTAAGTATAGAAGGGGGGAAAGGGAGTTAATTGCCACACCACCTATTGGCAAAAGCAGGCATGCCTGATCCCTGTATGCTGTTAACAGCTACAAAACTGCATGGGTTACACATGGACTATATGTCGCTTCATAAGGTCTGTCTATTTCCGAGATAAAATGTCCTGCTCCTAAATTTACTCTGTAATTCTGATGGCTGTGTTGGTCTGAAGCAGCAGAACAAAATTTGAGTCCAGTGGCATCTTTAAGACTAACAGAGTTTTATTCAAGGTATAATCTTTTGTGTGTATGCACACTTGTTAGTCAACATATGTAAGGGGGGAATAACTCCCGTTGAACTAGATAGAATGGAGTAAACTGGTTTAGCTGGTGAGGCTTAATCCCAGGTAATTGTGCATGGCATTGCAATCCAGAGATAAGGTAGGTGCATCAATTAATGTTGAAAACTAGAGGAAAGTATCCAGAGGTGCTGAAAAATTCTGGTTTTGAGTTTATAGAATGACCCAAAGTTTTGTGTATTGAAGAGGCAGGAGACGATGGTGAAACGAAAGAAGGTTTATTCAAAGTATTGCTCAGCTCCAGACTGGACTGGACAGCTCTGCATAGAGCGGCACTCCAACTTATACGATTTCATAGTGCACTATATACATTGTAACAGTAAACATGGGGTCTCATTGGACCTAAGCAGAGTTCTACAATTGGTTACCCTGGGTGGCAGACAGCCAATCATAATGCGAGAACTAGGATACCAGAGACACTTCAAACATCATAGAACAGCATAGAATCAAACCCAATACACAACCCAAAGCGTTTCAAGTTTTACAACTGGGGGGGAGGTCTTTTGTAATTCTTTCTAGAAAGAGTAACAAATTCTGTATCTGATTCATAAGTAAAATAGTAGACATCATGAGAATATACTGAAGTTGGTAGTTGGTTGGTTTACTTTGAGAGTGTATATGCCGCCTATTTGGTCCTGCTCAAGGCAGTTTACAAGTAAAAACAATACCTTAAAATTGTCAGACATCATTACTTATCAGCATCTACATGCGCCCCCTTGCCCAGATTGCCCGGAGGCATGGGCTGAGTTGTCACCAATATGCGCCCAGCTCTACCTGATGTTGGGCGGCCAGTCTGACTCTAGCTCAGAAGATCTAGACCTGGCGTTACAAGCCGTGGCCTGATGGCTTAGACTTAGCCAACTGAAATTGAAACCGACAAAGATGGAGGTCCTGTGCTTGAATCGGAGCGGCCCAGGGTTAGGGATCCCACTCCCGAACTTCGATGGGGCTCCGTTGATGCCAGCATTGGTGATTAGGAACTTGGGAGTGCTCCTAGATGCCTTAACAATGGAGCCGCTGCCAAGTCGGCCTTTTACTATCTTGGGCTGATTAGGCAGCTGGTTCCCTTCCTCGAACACAATGACCTGCAAACAGTGATCCACGTGATGGTCACCTCGAGACTGGGCTACTTAATGCTCTCTTCATGGGGCTGCCCTTGGCACAAATCCAGAAGCTACAGCTAGTGCAAAATGCTGCAGCCAGGCTTTTTATGGGCCTCCCCATGCGCGAGCACATCCGGCCTGTGCTAAAAGCATTGCACTGGCTGCTGATAGTATAACGAATTCGCTTCAAGGTGCGGGTTCTTACCTTTAAAGCCCTATATGGTCAAGGACCTGCATACCTGAGGGACCGCCTTTCCCCACATGTTCCCCGGAGAGCACCGCGTTCAGGGCTCCAAAATCACCTGACCCTCCCTGGTCCAAAAGAGGCCACGCTGGCCTCAATCAGGACCAGGGCCTTCTCAGTGGTGGCTCCATACTGGTGGAACGAACTCCGAGATGACATCAGGGCCCTGCAAGACCTCTTACAGTTCCGCAGGGCCTGCAAGATGGAGCTCTTCCACAAGGCTTTTAATTAGGAGCCGCACGTAACAACTGCACTGTGTTAGGCCCTCCCCCTGGATGTTCCATTAGCATCCTGTGCCTGCCAGCAAAACCAGAAAAGATAAGCTGAATTCCAACTCTGACCATTCCCTTTTGTTTAACCAACATGTCCTGCTCTGACGGCTATACAATTTTCTAATGTTATTATTACCATCTGTTCTAGCTCTAGCGCCCTGCACTTTATGTTTGTTATTATTGTATGATAAATTAAGATGTTTAAGTGTTGCTCTATGTATTTTATATGTCTCAGTGGGGAGGGTGGGATATAAGTCGAATAAATAAATAAATGAACTACTGAGCTCTAAAAATACCATCAAATCACACCTCAGATCAAAAGCAGCACCCTTTTTAAATGCATGTGTAAAAAGAAATGTTTTGCTGCCCTGACTCCTAAAAGCCTGTATGGTAGGTGCCAGGTGAGTCTCAAAGGGGAGAGTATTCCATTGGCAACTACTAGAAGAAGGAGGAGGAGATTGGATTTATACCCCTCCCTTCACTACCCAAAGGTGTCTCAGAGCGGTTTACAATCTCCTTTCCCTTCCCCTCCCCTCCCCTCCC